GCACTTGTTAGGTTTTACTGTCCTGCGGTTCAAGTAACACCAGTCACTGAATCCATCAATCTGATGTTGTAGCAACATAGCGTCAGCATACGTTTGAATCTTGAGAAAAATCTTAAGATCATCAGCGAATGACAAACGAGGTGTCTCTAGCACAAAGTTCACATCGTTGAAATAAATTAAAAAATATATTGGCCCAAGGTGACTTCCTTCAGGAATACCTAAAGTTGCTGGGAAAGCGATCGAATTGCAATCCTCAATAGATACACTGAGTTGGCGATTGATAAGATACGACTGGAACTAAGATAGTAGACATCCATTAATCCCTAGCCGTTCCAATTTAGCGAAGGTGATAGTGTGATTGATCTTGTCAAAATGGGGATGTCGCTCAACTAGGCTTCTCGTAACGTACGAGGTGAAGCACGAGGTGAAGCATAACAGGTTAGTAGTCGTTGATCCGTGTTGGTCTTCATGGAGATACTGTTTACAGTGCGATAACAGTGGCTCCATTACAACTAATTCGAAGAGTTTTGAGATAGCGCACAGCGAGGTGATTCCACGGTAGTTGTCTACATCCTTCCTATCCCCTTTCTTACGAACTGGGTACATTTGTGCGTTCTTCCAGCAGATCGGGAAGATTCCAGTGCGAAAAGACAATCCGAAGATATGACTCAGAGACTTCAGTAAACACGATAAGTGTTCCTTCAGGAAAACGGACGGTATTTCGTCTAGTCCGGGATTGTGAGATGATTTCAACTTGGGTGCTACCGATGAGATGAGAGCTTTATCGACCGGGATTTCGTTCAGTACGTGATTGTAGACGGGTACATAGCAACTTGTTGGGACGATATACTCTCGTTGGCAAACACGCTGGAAAATTTGTTTGCGAAGAGCTGGCAAATTTCTTCAAGGCTAGATGCAACGTTAACTCCTAACTTCATGGTAGAAGGGAGACTGGACTCTTTACGCTGATAATTCACGTACTTCAAAAAACTCCGTGGATTGGACTTGAATTCACGCTGCAGGTTCTGCTGGTAGTGGGAGAAACTCTCCAGTGTTGCCTTTTTGTACACCAAGTTTAGCCTCACGTAATAGTCTCGAAGTGATCTAGTGCGGTATCTCGTCAACCGTCTTAAAGCAGCGCTCTTGATGGATTTCATCTTACGAAGACTTTTCGTTTGCCACGGATGACTATATCGATGCACCGGTTTTGGCACATGCCTATCGATAACATATGACAGAGCATTATCAAAATACCGTGCGGCGATTTCCACGTCGGTGCTATCGAGCACAGCTTTCCAATCGATGCTTAATTTGTGATTTTGTGATCAGCTCTGCGGAAATTGTAGGTCACAGTAGAGAGACTAACTGTGGATTCTATGATGAGACGTCCCTCCAAGGTAATCACTAAAGCAGAGTGATGAGCGGTATCCTTAACCAGTGGAACTGGTGCAGCAGATAATGGAGGGGCACAGTCACGTTCACTGATAAAGCAAAGATCCAGCGTCGGGTTGTTTTCGTTTACGACGTTGTTGATTTGCAGTAGCGTGTCTAGTTCAGTAGCTCCAGCGTGCAGAACCGAATGTTCTAGGTCAGGATGGAGAAAACCGCTATAGAACGGGCGCCATGCAACTCCCGAAAGATTGAAATCTCCGAGAATAGTCACTTCATCTACTGCAGAACGGTAATAACCGAATGCGCATGGGAACGTATGAGCGCATAATCGTGGGCACGATCGGGAGGGCACACATGTTACTAAACTTATGAATTCATAATACGCTTAAATTATAATGCCACGAATGATTTTAGTCACCTTTCTCCCCGGTATCAACCAGGGGAATAGATTTTAAATTGGCTCACACTGGACTAGCCTATCGGCCCCACGTACATCGATGAACGTACCCCATTCTAGTCGGAATTCTAGGACTGTGTAAAGACTGACACGCTAACACGCTAACACGCCTCAAGTGTTGCGAATCGAAAATCTTTGACAGTGGTTTGTTTACACTTCTATAGAGAACAACTGGTGCAAGTTCGAACAAAGTAGTCGATCACGTTCAGAAATAACGTCAAATGGAACTCGAAAGAAGAAAAACTATGGTGCACAAACAACTGGAAAATCCCGAGTGTTCCGGTTACAAGTTGGCTAAAGTGCTGAAGATGCCGAAAACAACAGTTTGTCCAGTGCTCAAAACCGACATGGAAGCCCTGAGTGTGGAAAGGAATCAGCTGACCTAAGAAAAACTGGAACCAGGGATCGTCAGCTGCGCAGCAAGGTGTTGAGGTGCATTAAAGTCAACCCCGGTCTTTCGATCCGAGATGTGATCAGAAGGTACAACGCCAACTTTCAAACGGCGCGGAACATCCTTGCCAGGGAAGGATACAAGTCGCACAAAGCCAGTTAACATCCGAACCGGCACATGAAGCAAAATTCCGTGGCCAAAAAGCGTGCAAGGCTCTTGTACGACCGTGTTTTGATGAAACACAAGGGCTGCACTTTGATCGATGACGAAACATACGTCAAACTCGAATTTAAGCAGCTTTCCGGTCGAAAGCTTTACATCGCGACTGGACGTGGGGATGTGCCGGGAAGATTCGAGCTCGTGTGTACCGACACGTGAAGAAGGCCATGATTTGGCAAGCGATTTGCAATTGTGGCCTGAAAACGGAACCATTCGTAACATCCTCGCCGATGACATCCCAAGTTTACATCGAAGAATGCCTGAAAAAGCGCCATCCCTAGTTTGCATCGAAGAATGCCGTTCATCCACAAGCATAGGGGCAAAGTCATCTTTTAGCCCGATTTGGCCAGCTGTCACTACTTCAAGGTGGTTCTGGAGTGGTATGCTGCCAACAAGATCGATGAATCCTCCGAATTGCCCGGAATTTCGACCAATCGAAAAATGCTAGGCAATTTCAAAGCAGCGACTTCGACGAAGTGGCGGGGCAGTCAAGGACATCCAGCAAATGCGGGCAAAATGGAAGAAATGCGCTGATTCCGTGTCCGTTTCCACTGTGCGGGTGCTGATGGGCTCCATCAAGAGGAAGTATTTTTTTTTTTTTTTTTCTTTATTATAGAGATTTTTAGCCTGAGGCTAGTTCATCTCTTAAGAGGAAGTATTGAGATTTCGTTCAAACTGGATAAATGTAACCATCTAATGCTGTTACTTTGAAATTTTAATAAAAGTACTGTGAAGCATTCATTAATGGACTTTTCAAACTTATTTAATCACGAACTATAGGTCTTTTTGTGCGTACCAATTTACTTTTAGTCAGCCTTTATGTTTGTTTTGATTCGGTGTGAGAGTTTGACAGATACAATGAGGGGTTCGTGGATTTTCCTATGTTTCGAGGGGTGCATCGATTAGCTTGGGACCGAAAAGAGTACCAGAGCTGAACCAAAATGTTGAGCACGTTTCTTCGGGACTGTTGCGTCTATTCAGAAGCATATGGGAATTCGGGAAGTGGACCATATTACTTATTTATAATATTTGACGTTAATTAAATAAAATTGAAAATTATACTGTAAAATTGAGGGGGCGACTCTATCTAAGATGGAGGAATTTTTTTTGCTTTGCTGTTGTGAGATGCACTGCCGCTTAATAGATAGAAACACGATTCATTATAATTTTGAAGATTTCCTGCAAAAAGGTGGAGAGCGATGAGAGTAGATAGGTTTAGATACAAGAGATGAATAAAGATTTTTCGTTGATTGATTCGCTAGTGTGAGATTTTTCGACCATTTACAATCGAGATTTAGAAGTGTCGCACCCCTTGGGTAAAATCTTCTTTTTTGATATGAGCAACTCGTCAAAGCAATCACTGGAGTCCGAGGGGGTTGACTCTATCTACGATGCAATAAAGACTTTGCTTTGTTGTGGTTAGCTGAGCGCACGCTGAGTAGATCGCTTTTGAAGAATTACAGCAAAAAGTGATACACGATGCAAGTAGGGTTAAATATCCCATTTCCAGCCTATTAGGCACAACCCGCACTTAATATTTCTTAATCTAGCGCAGTTTAGCACCAAACGGAATGTTATTATTACTGATGGCTTCCAAATTTAGTTACCTTTCTGTACGTATGGTAAGATTTGATAAAGAGAAACCAATCGTTGAGATATTGACCAAACTCTAACACTGCTTCTTGATGCCAAAGGATGAAGATAAAAATTGATTTGGTCGGAGCGCTTCTTTTGTGTTTGTGAATAATGGGTGCAAACCTTCATATCACGCGTTCTTATTGACTTCGCTCGGTAGCTAAAGTATCGTACCAAACGCATAATTGACTTGTTAACTCTGAAATCATGGAAGTTTTCTGATCGATAGGCCCAAAATGGGCGATTAGGCCGAAGTAGTTCTCTACCCTAGATGCGAGAAATTAAATTTGAATTATTTTTTGTAGAAATTATTTTGAAATATATCCATGCGCTTATGGGAATTTCGGTCACTGTGTAGCAGTGCACAGTTGGCAAAAATTAGCCAAATCGTGACTAAATTGAATATTTTGACTGGGTAATAGTTTCAGCCAGCAGCTTTTCTTTTGCCTGTCGAGGTATAGGGCCGGAATCAACCCGAGTTCCCCAGCCGAGATATTCAATTTAGCCACGTTTTGGATTAACGTTGCCCACTGTGCAGTGTATTGAAGAATTCCATGTATACTGCAAAATATCGCATAATTTATATTATAGAGGATTTCAGCCCAAAGGCTAGGGCACGACAATCTCTATCAAGATTTCACTTCAATTGTATCACAATAAAATGTATACGAGGCAACTCGCGAGGCAGAATCAACAACTTCACCCGTCCCCATCGGACCAATTTGAACCCAAAATTCCGCACCGATAATCTATAACAATTTTATTTCAGTCGTTGAATGATAAAATGGTATGCAATTTAAAAATTTAGATGATACAATGATCAATGAGCCAATGATTCAAAACTTAAGTCATATTTGTTAGATAGAAGGACATGGACAAATGACAACACATTTCCACCGTTTTGAGATCATCTAGTTCCTCCGGCAAGTTGACCGGGATCGCTAAACATTACTGTATATGTCTGTATATTTCCATATTTACACAAGAAAGTTTGCCAAACAAAACAAAAATCGCAACTTGATTCCATCTCTCACCTAAAATTACAATCACTGTCGATTTACCTACACTTGCACAAACGATTTACGAGACCGACGACAAAATCCGGTCCAACATTCAGTTGTCCTACTGTTTCCAATTCCCAATAGCTAGGATTCAAATTTTGACCAATACACCTACAGTTGGAATAACTCTTTACGAGATAATTTCTACGATAAATTGTTAGAAGACGACAAATTCCAAAATACAAAAAACAAAATTTCAAGGCAATTGTTTGGAACAATTCTGGCAGTGTAGTTTGTAACGTTCCGTGCTACAACGAGGGCGAAGGCCCGGAGCTGGACTCGAGATTGGAGTCCTCCTCTACAACAGCTGGAAGGGGGTCTGCGTGGGACTGCTGCTGTTGATGTTGTTGTTGCTGCTGCTGTGGATGCTGGGCATCACTAGTGGGTTCTGATTGCTGTTGCTGCTGTTGGCCAATGGAAGCGGACTGCTGCTGCTGAGGCTGACCTTCCGCGGACTTCCCTGTAGTGGTGGGAGATAACAACACATGGTCAGTACCGCCCGAATCACTCGCATTCGCATTCGGATCGGGCGGGTCGGTTTTAATTCTACTAGTACTACTATGGTTAGGAATATTTTCGCTATCGTTAGGATTAAGGGTAAAGGTTACATAGTATCGCTTATTGCTATCGAGCTTTTCGGATGGCAGTGTAATGATCTGTTTGTTGCTACCGTGGGTCAACTCGAGGGCTACCTTGCTGTTGCTGCCGCCGCCGGCCGATGGGGCCAAGTAGCTGCTACTCCCGGGACAGCTCCGGTCGGTCGGGTTGGTGAGGATTTTCGGCAGGAAAAAGCTCCCAACCCCACTGGAGGACGATTTGTACTGGCCAAATCCGAGCTTCGGTATCGTGTGATGGTTCATCATGGGGACTGCGGTTTGGGAAGGGGAAACGGTGTGTTTGATTAGTTGTGTGTATTTTTGTGGGGAGGGGGTGGGGGAGGGTACTTACTGTAGGCTGCACAGGGGATTCCCGTGTATGCGTGGGTTGCGTGAAGGCAGCGATGAGTCTTGGTGGTGCAGTTCAGGGCTCGCTCGTATCGGCTTACGTCCGGACTCTGGCGACGCTCGGCCTGGATATCGATTTTTATTTAAAGGTTAATGTAGGAAAGCAAAATACAGAACAAATTTGGATTAGTGAACTGATTAATACAGAGGGTAAATGCGTTATAGCTAAGTACAATAAGAGCAGTTACTGGTCCATAAGTTTGTTTCCGAGGTGAGTCTGTCTTTCGAGGTGGAATGAAAATCGTTTGAAGAATAATGTTAACGATTTCTGAGTTTTACTTCAATGGTTAACAAATGGCTAATCAAAGATGAAATAACTATAGACTAATCTACATAAGTTTGCAGGTTAGGCAAAGCAAATTTCTACAGCCTACAATCTACACATAATTTAATAGTTTGACATACTGAATGTGCACATTTGGTACACGCTATTTTGAGGCTACTCATTTTTGAGTCGATAATCACTCAGTCCACCCAAAAGGGAAGTTAACCAAAAAATGAGTAAACATGCTTTTAGTCAAATTTTAGTAAACGTGCCAATTGCGGAAATTAGGTAAGGTTTACTCAGATGATGACATTTGCGAACTGAGGAAACTTTACCCTGACAATTCTGTATTTATCTGCTGATAGCTTTGCATCCAGGCACTACTTCACTTCAAAAAGGAATATGGCTAGATTTACCCATCGGAGCACAACCGAACTCATTTTTTGACAACCCCATACAGTATGCAAAAATGACTTCGATCCACCCACTCACTGAGTAGCCTCAAAATAGCGTGTAAGATTATTAAAATCTACAGTTTGCATGGCATTCTAGATTGTGCAAAAATGCCCAAGAAGCTTTAAAAGGCGAAGCCTTTCCAAAGCATATCCACCGCATAAAATTCAATCCACCTTTTAGTTCTATCCACATCTCCCGCGATTATGCTCAGACAAGGAGTTGTTTATCTAATTAACACCTTGTAATTTCATTACCGTGGTTTCTCCACCACCGCACTATCCATACGATTTTTTACCGTTGCTCTTGCATATTTTTTCGCCCCCTACATTAAGACCCCCATTCGAAGCTGCTGGGACTATGCACGGTGCATGAGAAGACACCAGCCCTGCTGCAGTAATACCGCGGCATGCTACCATTCGAGTGGAAGCCATTTTGCCGGCTCCACATGCACTGGTGGAAATTGGAGCTTCATTTTGTCTGGCTCATATTTTCACGGGCGACTTTATCGGACGGTGGTGGTAGTGGGGTGGAGAATTCGAACAATTTCAATTGGAAATATTTTCCCTCAATTCATGATCCAATTTATCAGTGCTCTGCTCTGCTGAAAGAGGCAAAACGGCTGCCCCTCAGTCCAGTCATTTTCGCCTAGTTTTCCCCCAGAGAGCCACCGGGCGGTCTCGTTCTTTGCTTTTAGCGTGGGAATTTTTTCTACACAGCCAGTATTTTTTTCTCGCCCGGCTCTCATCATCACTTGGGAAAGTTTTTTTTTTGCCCCTTTCACCCGGAGTGTAGAGGAACACTAGGGAAATTTAGTGTAATGGAATCGCTGCTGGTGTAGCTGACTCGGTGTGCGAATGTGTGTTCTCCTGCTGGACCTGTTCTCAGACGCGCTTCACTAAATTAAAATTTGCTCCGTTCATGCATACAAACTAGGTGAATCGTTTTACATAAATTTGCACGTCCAATTTCGGGCTGATGTTCCTCTTTTGCCGGCGTGCTCGGGCTGTGGAGGCACTTTACTACACTTTATGCCAACAGGTCCTGGCGAAATCCGAGAGATCAACTCCTCACGGAAAGAATTTTTGGCTCGTGAAAGTGGATTTTCTGCCACGCTGCTTTGAACTCACTTTGGGCTGCGCCTGGCTGAATACTGAAGAGGGCATTTCCTCTGAGGGTAATTAGAGCGTACTAATCAAACTTTTCCAGCTTGATGTGACTTGACAAGGTTGTATGATGTGATGCGACTTTCCGAGGAAAACATCTTTGTGGCCATTGGGAGATTGGAAACGGTTTCACGTTAACAAGAGTACGTACTCACTTGTGAAAGGCTTTGTGGCCTGTATGGTATGGTGTGAGCTTCGAAATCAGATTGTGCCAATGATGGTGATACGGAAAATGGCAGCTCACTGGAGTGTGGAAAATCTTTTAAAAATGTAATAGAGTGCGGTCTGGTTGCAAGATTGGCGATATTCGGGCTGGATCCTGATCGGAAATCATGGATGAGACTTTCAAGACCCTTCGATTGAACGATCGTCATGCGTAATGGTTTGTTAAGATGTTAGGAAGTCGGTGGCATAAAGGCGACTGTTTTTGTTTAGCATTTTGTAAAGTAGAATTCGAGGGGGGAAGACGGCTTTCTTTGAGTACCTCTTTTACTCAGAGTTGCTCAGAGCTACTCTGGTTTGCTCTGGGATCTGATCCAATTTGTAACGAAAAAGAATTAGTAGGGCATATAGTTTTGGAATCTGACCATGCAAATGTCAGTTCGATAAAGAAACGAAAACAATGAATGAAGAAAATAAATGGATGCAATATTTAAATAAGGAAATGATCTTGATTTCTACCAGTTCATTGAAGTTTTGCCTATTTTCTTAAATCACTCTGATAATGGCTTTCTGCAGGGCACTTTTCCCTTTGCAATGGTAATGAAAAAGACTAAGATCTTGCTACCGTAGTACTGGGCATCCAGATGCTTAGAGCAAGCGAATGGATATTCCCTTCAGACTATCAGCTCCGACATGTACTTAAGGATGCATCCTGTGAGGGTCTCGGTTGTTAGAACCAAGGTTGCAAAGACTCATTTCAGCTAAAATAATGTTTTTCGGAATAATAAAACCAAAAGATGGTATGGTGGCATGTTTTACTTGTAACTTACAAGAAGAGGTTACAAAGTATGCGTTGGAAACATAAAACCTGTAAATTTTGCTTTCTATGAGTCACAATCAGCGATTTGCTGATCGCTGAGTGAGTGAGTGAGTGAGTGAGTGAGTTTGTGAAAAATCGCTGATTGTGACTCTCATGAAGTGAAATAAACAGGTTTAATATGTCAAACACATTCTTTGCAACCTCTTCTTGTATCCTACCAATTCAAAATTTGATCATGGCATATAATTATTTCATAATTTAGAAAAACATTGTTTTAGCTGAAATGAGTCTTTGCAACCTTGGTTAGAACAGGAAAATACATATATATATATATATTAGACTGATGCAAAATTTGAAATTTTGGCTACGTACAAACTCTTCCGCCAAACCCCCACTGACGGCCCCTAGCCCCATTTATTTTGAATCAAAACAGCAAAGCGTTTTGTTTGTTATTGAGATCGAAAAGGATCAGTTTCCAATTTTTTCTGTTCGCTTTCAACTGTGCAATTTTATCTTTCAATGCTAACGTAGCCTGGAAGATATTGCGTCCAGTATTTGAAGTATTTGAACGGAGTACAAGTCGCTGTTTAAGGACACGCTAGAGAATTTAATTTTCATAATTGACTAGACTAAAGGGCGAACACGAAATTATTGCGACACATTCAACAGGGCATAACTTTTTTACCATTGGGTAAAAATCAACCAAATTTGGCACACTTTCTCATTGATGTGTATTGTGTACATGCTGTCAAACTCGAAGTCGTGTTTTTCGATTCAACGAAAATGGAGGTGAACCAACGCGAGTTGAGAGAACAAATTCTTTCCAAACACCTGGAATTTCCTGACCTGTCGCACCGGCAGTTGGGAAAAATGTTGAACATTCACCATTTAACCGTCTCCAGAGTGTTGAAGCGGTTTCAGGAGCGGTTGACGTTGGACCACGGCAAAGGAGCTGGAAGAAAACCGGGACCGGAGAACAAAAAGACGGAGGGAAAGGTGAAGCGGATGATTAAAGCAAATCCCAACGTCTAAAGCCGTGATTTGGCTAAAAAGATCGGCATGTCGCAGAGCTACGTCCAGAATGCAAAGAAGAGAGCTGGACTACATACATACAAGGTACAGAACTTCCCAAACCGCGATGAGCGGCAACAATCGACGGCTAAAACTCGGGCACGGAAGCTCTACGAGAAGATGCTGACAAAATAGGGCTGCTGTGTGATGGACGACGAAACGTATATAAAAGCTGATTTTAAGCAAATTCCGGGGTTGGAGTTTTTCACCGGCAAGAGCAAGTTCGATGTGGACGACAAATTTAAGAAAAAGAAAATGTCGAAGTTCGCCTCCAAATATCTCATTTGGCAGGCCATCTGCTCTTGCGGACTGAGGAGTGAGCCTTTCGTGACAAAGGGCACAGTAAATGGCGAGATCTATAAATCTGAGTGCCTCGAGAAGCGCCTTTTGCCGTTCTTGCAGCAGCACGACGAAGCTCCGCTATTTTGGCCAGATTTGGCATCATGCCACTATTCTAAAAGTGTCCTGGAGTGGTATGAGGCCAATTCTGTCCATTTTGTTCCAAAGGACATGATTCCGCCAAACTGTCCGGAGCTGCGCCCGGTGGAGCAGTACTGGGCAATAATGAAGCGGGAACTTCGGAAGAGCAAGAAGACAGTCAAAGACGAGAAGGACATGTTAAGAAAATGAAAAAAAAAACTGAGAAACTGGTACCGGATGACACTGTAAAGACTTTGATGGAGGGCATCAAGCGAAAATGCGTTCAATTTTACACTCAAGGCTCCATCGATTAACTTTTCTTTTGATTTTTGAAGTAAATATATGTATAAAACTACCCTAAAATTTTGGTTTGATTCTAAACATTATAAGAAAATTGGCATGACATTTTCGGTGTCGCAATAATTTCGTGTTCACCCTTTAATTGGCCTGTATGAACGTGCGGTGTCCCCCGCACCTCGTTTCTTCACCAACACGATCACTCCATCGATGAACTGACTCGGTAAATTTGACCTGATAGCTTCGTTCAAAATCAGGTTCAGTTGAATGTACGCAGATAAAACTCTTTCGGCAGCCGATCAGAGCCTGGTGATTTTCTGGATGCGCTTATGCAGATGGCAGGAAGTATTTCAGCCGTTGTTACCTCATTCATGCAGTCTTCGTTAACGGCATCCTGCTCGGGGATGACTC